ACACACACACACACACACACACACACTTCCTCACTCACCCTCTCACTCACCTGGTCCGAGCCAAAGGGCGCAATGTTAGACTTGAGCGCCCCGGTGCCAATGGCAACCACAAACAAAATGATGTAGACCAACCAGGAGCAGCGCTCCGTGAAAGGACTGCTCTGGTCACCCGCCTCATCTGTGACGCAGATCCTGGGCAGACTGCCCGTGTGAGTGGAGTTGTCCAGGTGCCTGTGTCTCGGGTGCGAGGAGCTGGAGTGCGTGTTCACCGCCAGGAAGGGCAGCGATATAAAACCGCAGAGGTAAATAAAGAACGCGATGAGCATGGTCTTGAACCGGCCGAGGAAGGAATCGGCGATCCAGCCGCCGATCAGAGCCATGACGTACGTGATGCCGAAGAACATGAAGAGAGCGTTCATCGCGTTGTAAGACGCCCACGTGAAGGGGTCTTTGTTGAGGAACAGCACCAGGTTGCCCGTTAGTCCGTAGTAAGAGATTCTCTCGAAGACCACCGTTAGCAGGATGGTCCCACAGGCCATCCGCAGACTGGAGTCGGAGCGTGGCTGCAGCACTTGCGGAGAGGCGTCCGGTCTGTTGCCATAGTTACCGGTGGCCGAACTTCCGGCGCGACGCACGGACCTCCGAGATGGGGAGCTCTGCGGCGTCGCAAAAGGTCCCCTGTCGCGGCCCCAGTTCGGATTTCGACCGATCAACGGTCGTTGTTCCTCTGACTCTGACATGTTTCAATGTTCGTACTATGTTTGTTTGTTGTTGTTGTTGTTTTATTTTATTTTTTTAATTTTTTTTGGAGGGGGGGTATTTTCCACCTCAACACACCTGACTATCCTCCAATAATTTTGTTTTTATGAAATACTATCGAACACAAAGATATAACATGGAAACTCTTAGGGTGTAAATATTACTCAAAACCTGACACGTCTTTTTCAAAAAGGACAATAGAAGTGGAAGGCACGTTGTGGTATCCTATATAACCTACACACACAATCAGGGGCCTAGACCTATATGTACAAACATATAAATAAGAATTCCAACTTCCACATAAGCGCAATTTTGTACAAAGATCCTGCTGAAATTATCCGAGCTTTCACACAAGCGCTGCCTTGATGGTGTTCACAGCAGGGACTGGCTTTGCCTTCTTCCTCATAGTCACATTCGTTTGAGTCATCTCGTGTTTATCGACTATCATATCAAAAGTATGACATTTTCAAGAGATCAGCTGTTTCTAAAATCGTCACAAATCTTTGCACTCGCGTAGGTAAAAGAATTCTAGTTCCTTTCCTTCAGGCTATGGTAATCTGGATACATGTACGCAAGCCCATTACAATGATGCCATCCCAAACTCCAAAGTTGAAATAATTCTTTCTGTTCGCATTTTCCGTTCCATAGGGAATATGGAAGAGTCAGTGCGTGATGTAGATAACACTTAGATCTAATCTAAACCTTGCTTGTCTGTTCTGAGCCTGGAATAAGAAGAAAAGGAAAGAATGTCAACAAGAGATATTTTTGTTCCGACTCAAAGAGGAGCAATATCATAT